ACACAACGACTCCCGCATGAACGTCTCCCTCGCCATGACCGCTGCGCTCTACGGTACCACCGTAGTGAACCACTTGGAGGTCACTGGACTGAACAAGGATGCATCCGGCAAGCTATGCGGTGCTCGCGCCAAGGACCTCGTCACAGAGAAGAACGGTCAAGTTGCCCAGGAGTTCAACATTCGCGCCAAGGGTATCATCAACGCAACTGGTCCCTTCTCTGATTCCATCCGCAAGATGGATGAGCCCGATGTCAAGGAGATTGTGGCCCCCAGTGCTGGTGTCCACATCATCCTGCCTGGTTACTTCAGCCCTTCAAACATGGGTCTAATTGACCCTTCCACATCGGATGGACGTGTGATCTTCTTCCTGCCATGGCAGGGTAACACCATTGCTGGTACCACTGACCAGCCCTGTGAGATTGAGGCCCAGCCCCAGCCCACTGAGAAGGATATCAACTGGATTCTTTCGGAGATTCGTGGCTATATCGCCCCTGATATCACCGTGGACCGAAGCGACGTCCTGGCTGCTTGGTCTGGTATCCGTCCCTTGGTGCGCGATCCCAAGGTGAAGAATTCGGAGGCTCTCGTCCGAAACCACCTGATCACCGTCTCTCAGTCTGGACTGTTGACTTGCGCCGGTGGTAAGTGGACTACTTACCGCCAGATGGCCGAGGAGGCCGTGGATGAGGCGATCAACGTATTCAATCTCGAGCCCCGCCAGCTCAGCACCCTTCCCGACATCAGTGGTGTCGGTGGCAGTGGTCTGGTTGCTGACGGCGCCGTTCTCGACGGTAGCTGCCAGACCCACCAGGTGCGCCTCATAGGTGCCCACGGTTTCTCCAAGACCCTGTTCATCAACCTTATCCAGCACTTCGGTCTCGAGACCGACGTGGCCAAGCACCTCACTGAGTCGTACGGTGACCGCTCATGGCAGGTCGCTGCCTTGTCTTCCCCTACCAGCGAACGTTTCCCCGTGCGCGGCTGCCGCATCTCCCCCATGTACCCCTTCGTTGATGGCGAGATCCGCTACGCCGTTCGTCACGAGTATGCCCAGACCGCCGTTGATGTGATTGCCCGTCGCACCCGTCTGGCTTTCCTGAACGCCGAGGCCGCCCTCGAAGCACTCCCCACCGTGATTGACCTGATGGGTGAGGAATTGCAGTGGACCACTGCCCGCAAGGATCTTGAGTGGAAAGATTCCTTGACTTACCTTGCGTCCATGGGACTACCCAAGAGCTTCATGGGCCTTTCGCGTCGTGATGTCAAGAATGGCCGTGTTAAGCAGGTCGATGATGCCGAACGCGCGACTTTCTCTCGTGATGGTATGTTTGAAACTTCGTAAAACAATCCAATGAACCACATCGCTGACAATCCTAGAACCTCCCGCGGATATGATTGAGAGTGACAAGCGTTCTGCTACTGCTGCTACTGCAGCTCCTGCAGCAAAACCCTCGCATTAGATGATGTGTGGGTATATATAGACCGGACTTGTACAAATAGAAGCGTTCCTTTATTATTTTGTTCGAATATCGATTTTTCCTTCATTGACACTCTGAAAACGGGGACTTTCTTTTTTTCCCAAGCCCCCCCCCCCCCCC